ACTGTTTTACGTGGGAAACACCGAAATAAAGCGGAAGAGCGAAATCGCCCGGCTGCCGCGGGCGACGCGACCATTGGCGGCCGGGCGGGCGCGTGCCACGGCACGTTAATCGTACTTTGGCGAGAGACTCGTGGGACCGCGGCTCGCGGACAGCGGCTCGATTCGTGCCGCCGCCGCCACCGCCGGTTGAAATATACCACCAGGAGATGTCCTGGGACCGCAAATGTCCTGGGGATTCGCCCCACCCCCCCGATTCGGTCGAGTCACAGCGCGAGAGCCGCCGCTGAGGTCGATCGACAAATAACACGCTGGCAGTGTGTATCCCTGCAAATGGTACAAAGACGAATACGGCGCGGCGGCGGGTTTATGCACGCTGTTGGCTCCCGTCGTCAGGGCTACGTGCTCCGAGAGAATGTAGCCTAAAGGTACTCCAGGACGATCAATACGTTCTATTGTCATTGTACGCTACGGCGAACGCGGGCAAATATTGAGAAATTGTCGAGACGGCGGGTATTAGCAAGACCCGACGTGTGACGACGGGAGAGTTAAAGTATTTTTCATGTCGACGATAAGTGGCGGATAGCTGGCGGATGACGTATATCGATTTATTGATCGACTTAGCGGATTTCCCGAGACGATCTTCGCCGTTTCTCTTCCTCTCTCGAGCGCGAAAAACCCGCGGAGATGCAGCGCGAGATTCCGGAAATTCACAATGAATTTTATTCCCAACCATTTCTGTTGAGCTTTCGTGTAAACTCGCGAGAGATTTCCCGCGATTCTCGAACGGGGAGATATGTATAACAGGCGCGCGGGCGCGAGATCGCGACAGCCGAGTTCCGAATCTTGGAAAATCATCGGGCAATCCTGTTCTCGAGGCCGGATACTCTTGCCTCTCGTCGACGTCAAGATCGGGCGCTAAGTTTGACAAGTTTTGTTCCGCGATTTCATCCACCGGCCCGAGATCCGCGTCACGTACATAGTTCGACTCTCGCGCGCGCGCGCGCGCGACTCACGTCGGGAATGTTAGCGGTTGACGACTTTGGACGGTAAAGTTTAAATCCTTTCGCCAAAGGCATTTTCTCTTTCAATATTTTCTCTTCCCCGGGATACTTCTCCGCGGGACGTTACACGGCGGCTTCACAGCGAGCCAGTCAAACTTCCATTTTCTTCGGAGAAGCGCGCGGCAGAAATAATCCGACATTCAGTTCGCGAAATTGAGTATTCAACGTCTCCGCCGTCACATCCCGTTTTAAGATCCCCCTTTATTATTAGCGCGATCTAATAGACGTGCGGCAGTGTCTATTTTTATATTTCGACACGTGCAGACAGCTCGATAGTGGAAGGGTTAATTTAAATACAGGACACATTACTGTTACGTCAATTGTCCCGATTGATTATTCTACACTTTGCGCAATGACCTTTATTTGTTATCCTTTTAACCGATATAAACGCGCGGAGATATATTTTATCTATGTTTTTTACCGCGGTAGTTTTTTTTATTTTCCCGTATAATTTTATATGTATATGCAGATAGACTATAAAAAGTTAATTGCAACTTGAGACTAATAAATAAGATTCTCCTTTTTTTTTAACGTTTTCTCGTAACGGCTTAACGTAAGCAAAAATAATACCAGCTTTACTGCCACTTCGGGTTTGTATCATATTCTAAATGACCAAAGCAACAAAATAATTAATTACCGTAACACGCTCATGCGATTTATATATAGTACACTTTTCTCGGTATTTATATATACTTCATTATACAGATTCTTCGCGTGCGCACGCGTTATCCCTTCAAAAACCAGGAAGAGGAAGCTCATCTCGTCGCGCGATCGATATGTAAAACTCTTTACTTTAATCACTTTAAGGTCGGGAAAATGTCATGTCAAGAGGAAAGACCTTTCACTTTTATCTCGTGCCCACGATATATGTGTACACCACCACCACCACCACCACCACCACCACCCCACCACACTCGAACTCGGCTCGCTATACAACTTGCCGTTTAACCTTTAATCGAATACTGTGGAAATTAAGCGGTACTTAACACTCCACTGGCTAGGAAAATAAGTCGCAATAACAAGGTTAACTCATCGTTTTATTCGCAAGGGCGGACTACGCGGCTCGCGGTGCTGCTTGAGGCCGCGCGAGAGAGAACTCAATAAACAAGATCCATTTCTTCCACTTTCGGTTCCGGCGCGCGCGCCCGTTAATGACACCTTAATCATCGCGCAAAATAGAGAATAATTGTGAGCGAGGGAATTAATAGCATAATAGGGAATAAAAGTGATACGGACAAGACAAGAAAGCTCCGACAGCGATTCTACAAAATTTGTACCGCGGGAGAAATTATTTCAATATTCCGAGTGACGCGATGTACCTACCTATGTAATTTGATTATTCGTATTCATACGTTCCTCTGTTCTTCTCGCGGCATTATTTGCAATGTTAAAATGATAAAAAATAGTTTTCAATACATTCTATCCCGCTGATGTTAGACGAGAGGAGTGGAGTCCTCTCGTTGTTTGCGCGTTTCAAAAACAAAAAAAAAAGTGCTCATCGTACGGTAAAATTGTAAAGTATAATAGACGTACGTACATACAAGCCAGACGCAGGCTCGGCCAACCGAGATAACGCGAGTTTTTGAAAGATAAAAAGCATCGCGGCCATCGCGGGGCTGGAATTATAGTACCATACAGCAAATAAGATCTCTCTCTCTCTCTCTCCTGTGTAATCTCCAAAGCGAATTTATGCACGCGCATAAATATTAATGCAATATTTAGCGTTACGCGCGAGCGTAGGCAATGTCATTGTTGCCGGGTCCTTTGTAAAGTTGAGCGTAGAATCGGTCGGGGAACAAAAGGGGAAGTCTAGAATGTCTGATTCGCACCGAAATAATTTAATAGCTCCGGCACGTTTATACGCCGAGAAAATACATGTTTTTCTGCAATAAACAGCGAAGGATACCTTTGCCCGAGTTACCATTACCAAGTTAGCCGAGCTGGCAAAATGAATTTTTATATAGATCGGGGGATTTGTCTGCGAGACTTTATAAATTTGGTATCGGCGCAATCAATCCGCATTATCGGGATAATCTTTCGCGGTCGACAGTTTCACAATGCGGCGATTTGAATTGGCGATTTCGGCGGATTGACGGAGTGTTCTGAGAGACGGATTTTTGTCCCCGCGACGCGACGTGTACATATAAATTCACGGAAGCTCTGACGTCAGCATGGCAAATGCCGGTATGACAAAAAGCAATAATGCGATTTTCTTCGCGGCGTAAATTGAAAAATACGTTTTCGAGCAACGCGAAAATACATTATGAATAAATAGAATTAATTTCTAGCTGATGTGCACGGGATTGTTGTATTCAATACATAAACGACGAATTTATATAAATATAAATTAAAACATATTGTTTTCGGGAAGGGACACAAATCGTATCGGACTCTCAATTAGATAAATATCCATTGTTCGCAATGAATTTCTCTTGTAAACAAAATGTCTCTACGTTTTATTTTATTGCGTAATAGTTTCCATAATTGGCAGCAGCGCAAATAGGACGTGTTCAAAAGACGCGAAAGTCGTACAATTAGCAGACCGTTTAACGTTAAATGATTTAGCCATTTTAGCCGAAGAATAAAATATCAAAAGTGCAAAGAGCTAATGGGATTATTTATTTTCCAATTAATCACGTAGTCTTCGTTCTTGGCGAAAGTTTCGTCTGAAATCCAATTTGCGACGTAGAAGGCGGAAGACAAATGCTTGGAATTAACTTTTAGTCTAGGGAGAGCACGTCGACTTGAAATTGTTCGATAAATAAAATGTTACAACCAATTCGCTATTATTTATTTGTTCTGACGCGCCACTTGTACGAAAAAACGCGAATTACGCGCAGAGACGTGAAAAACTTTGAGAGAAACGTGAAGTCACGTCGTAATTTGTTGCTTCAACTTGTCGTAAAACGCCACTGTCGTTATCCTAAGAAATAGAACTTTAATACACACGGTTTCGGAAAATTCTACGGGGGTGGGGGAGGGGGGACATAATGTGCATCTAGCAAAAAACACCCGGCGCACCTCGCCGCGTATGCAATTTATCGGTATACGCTCTATATGTGTGTATATGAAGCAATCTGGTGAGAAGGTTGGAATATTAATGAGAGAGCGAAATTGTTTCGCAAGCACCGGAACGCGTTTCGTTTCGGCGGAAGTGCGCGAAAATGGAACTGCATCTGCAAATCTGAATCTAATTCGACAAATAACAAATTCTTTTTTTTCACGATCGCCCGAAAAAAATCATTCGCGGTAAAATTCGCTCCCGTTCGCCGCATCGAGAATGACGATGTACGTACACGAGGTGATTTGCTTCGGGATTAAAATCGTTTAAAAGAGAAATATCGTCTCCGATTGGCGAGTATTGTCAATTATATAACTCTGTGCCAAGAGTGTGAGGGACTGTATTGAAGAGACGAGATTATATTGAAAATCGATGTATTGAAGGAACACGAGAGCACGATATTTTCTACGGAACGATATTTACTACGAGAATATTTTGATATCCCGCGATTAAAATAACTGACATTTTTCTTAAGGGTCATGCTACCTTTGAGATTTTACACTGATACCTGAAGTTTGGGATTTTTTTGTGAGTAAATGAATAACTTCATTTAAAATCTGCTTAGAGGACATTATTGTACATATATAAGAAACTAAAAAAATTTTTTTACTTTATTATATATGTACAACATTGTTCTTAAAATAATTTTTTAATAAAGCTATCTGTTTACCCAGAAAAAAATCCCAAACTTAGGTATCATTTTAGGGCCTCAAAAGTGGCATGACCCTTTAACTAGTCGTCTAACGCTCAACGGAGGGATAAGATATTCAGCGATTTTACGACGCTACTAGTATTCGAACGATTTGCGTACGATTGTTGAAAGTACAGTAGCGAAAGTACACAGAGCGATCTGTGTGTGATGTAGAGGCTTGACTTACCTATGTCCATCAAATGGACCTCACCAAGATGTCGCGCGGCGTAGAGGTGAAGTAATCCGAAAGCGAGCTGCATCCCGGTGGTGAGCAACAGGGCGAGGAAACCGGCGGCGCAGACCAGCCAGCCCCATCCACCCTCCGGATAGAAATGCGCCCGCATACCGGCGACGTCTATCCCTGATAGAAAAGATTATCCTCTTTATAATTCAGAGATAAATCGCGGAATCGCGTCCGGATACCGGCGATAATGGAATATCTCGCGGCACGGATTTAGCATCTTGCACTCCCGATAGGAGATTTCTGACTCGTATGAATGGAAAACTTTCAGCAAAGTAACTTAATTTCGTAACTGGTACTTGTAATATAGATCTTGAGTCGAAAAAAGTTATATTTACATCATTTTAATATTAAGTATATTTTAATGTCTACCGTTATTCACTAATATGCTTACGTTTTATTTATTTAATTATATTTAAGAATTGCATTATTCAAATAATTTATTGAAACAAAATTAAGTTATAATATCAAACAATATTAAGTATATAAAAAGGTGCAGACAAGAAAAAAAGAAAGAATAAGGAATAATAAAAAGGAATATATAAAAAGGTGCAGACAAGAAAAAAAGAAAGAATAAGGAATAATATTGCAGATGATATAATCGTACTCGTTCGTTCTATTATACGCATTGAAACTATACATATATATTTAAATATATGTATAGTTTTGCTAAAGAGAAGAACGGAGGAGAAGTGCAATACCTGGACGACGAAATGCAGGTACGCAACGATGCAGATTGCGTAGATCGCCCAGGACCCAATTCGTATTGCCACCCATAGTTTCATCGGTGTCCACGTAACGCAGACGAGTGTCTGAAAGAAATCGTGAATTAATCGTGAAACACGATCGTATATCCTCGTGTATCGTTCAAGTATCTTCGCGTTTTCCGCCTGGGATTAAACAAGACCGTGGAAGTGAGAGCGTTCTTGAATGAGGACTATAGCCGAGGAGAACCGTTTGGTCCATTAACGTTCGATAACGATACCGTTGTTGCGTCATCGGCAAATTGGTTCGCGTTGAATTGAAGCACTTAATTTCTGAAATAATACACTACGCGAAGGCATCGGATGTCCTTCCACACAATGCGGGGCGGCTGTTCGGTGACCGCGACGACGACACCTGCGGCTGGCAACAGCGGCGTATGCATGAGAGGGTGCGAGATGGCGGCAAGAAACCATGTGAAAGAAACGACGTGAGAGAAGATAGGTAGGTGGGTAGGTAGGTAGGTAGGCAGGTAGGTAGGTAGGTAGGTAGGTAGGAAGGAAGGAAGGAAGGAAATGGAGAGGCGAGGGTCAGGTAAATGCACCTTTGAAAGGGATGACGAGGCGATAGGTTGAAAAAGGTAACGTGAAGGCACGAAGTCAAAGGGCGGGTCACGGGGGAAGGAGGGTTGATGATCGTGAAATAAGAGCGACCCTGTTACGCCTCGTAAAAAATCATGATTTCCAAATCAGGCTCTGATCGCGGAAAAAGGTATCTAACTGAATTATGGGTAACGCGCATAGGTGTGTATTGCACATGCGGCCGCATATCGAACACAAACTTTTCCATTAGCGGCGTTAAATGTTAAACGCCGTTGGGTTTTGCATAGCCACGCGCGTATCGCACTAACAGCGAAAATCGAATTCGAGCGTACTGTCGTTATTTAAATTTGCAAGTCCAGTGCAGCCGTTTTCATCGAGTATTCTTGATTAATTGATTATTTGTTTGGCTAGTTTAGACTCAAATATGAAAGATTGATAATATTTTCCTCAATTGCCTTCCCATTTGTTCTCTTCCACAAATGTTAATGCTCGCTTTTTTTTTCTTTGAATTTTTTTCCTCCATAACTAGGAAAACATATAGTGTCTGTGAAGGTAGCACATTTTGTTAATTTTTAAAAAACAATGTTAGTTCCAGTAGCACTTTCGATAGTTCTACCGTTCCTGATAAACATTCAAAAATGTTCTGCATTTTTAATAATACCAAAAAAATAAAAATTACCAAATAACGTGCTAATTTCACGTTCTAGCACGGCACATCTCCCACTAAAGTACTATATAACATTTTTTAATATTTATCAGAAATGGGAGAACTATGGAAAGTGCTACTGAAACTAGCATTGGTTTTTAAAAATTAAAAATTAAAAACAAAATGTGCCAACTGCACAGACACGGGAACATATCTCTCTATAACGTTTTGTAATTATTCGCACGTGTATTACTTAATTTTACGCCCCGTTTTATACACGCGATTAAAACTTCGGGCTTTGCAAATGTCTCGGCTTCGTAATTTCTAATTTATTCGCGGGCGTTCCTCGGTATTATATAACAGTTTGACGTCAGTTGTAAATTATCGTGCCACCGTGTCAGTACGAGTAAAACTGCGTTCACCAATGCAATTCAATTCTGGGACAACATGTCCGTAAGTGGATAAGTTTCTACCGCGAGCTCCGTGCGCGCTTATTAGCGTTCAGCGTGTAAAACCATTTGGAGAAGATTATTTGTATGGCGCTACCATTATCATCGTCGTCATTGCCGTTGTCATTGCCGATAACGAGGGAACGTTGCCTCGCGCATTCGCCTTTAGGTGAATAGGTAAATTAGTAGTGAGAATGAAATATTCTTCATTACCCTGGTAGGATAGTGAAAATAAGGTATGAAAGGAGCGCGCAGCGAAGAACGCGCGCGTTTTAACGCGGCGAGACGGGAGCGAGAAAAAAAAAGAGAAACGGGACGACAGTAGGTATTTTGCCGAAAATGACACGAGACGTAGGAACATTGCCGAGGACGGCACCGAGGGCAAAATTGTTGCGAGAGGCGAGTTACGAGGGTGCCCTCTTGATGCCGGAAAAGGAGCGGCACGTTCGCAAGAAATGCGAATTTCTTGCGAACGTGCCGCATCCTTAGTGAAATCACGGTCGCATTTTCGTTGAACGATCTAAACGAAATATCTGAAATGTCGCTTCGAGGAGCATGGAGAATGTGCAATGATTGCAGCGAAGTAAATACGCAAGAGGCTCTCCGATGATGTAAAGAGAGGAGACTCCCGTACGTTTCAAATCTGCCTCGAATGTAAGTAAATGTAACTTCGACTTTGTGAATATTTTTCCATTTCCGATTAAACTTCGTGAAATCTCCGCGAAATCTTCGCCTCGCTGTCGAAGCCACGTATAAGCGATAAAGGGAAAACGATTAATAAAATTTACGCCCCCATCACGTCGTTTGTGCTGCTCGTAAATTCCAAAGAAGCTCAAGCATTATATCGTGTCTCGATACGTTCTGCATTCTTTGTAATTCAGGTTAATCAATCGACAAAGGAGAACACCGAATTCTTCTCCCTTTCATGTTTATTACGACAGATGTGGAATTATTGATTCTCTCTCTCGTATAAAGGAAGTAAGGTAAAAAATTTCAATTCTCTGATTGCTACTCGGATTCACTTTGTCAGTCACCTTTGTCAGTCGAGATTGAAAACCGGCGGTTGACCTACATTTTCTGATAGACACTGTTTTCGATGATACATCAAGCACAAAATTTCGAGATACCTCTTCGGCGGAGTTAAGTGGAATTGATTCTTATTTTCTCCTCGTCGTAAGCTCTTCATTTTGCCCTACTTCTTTTGTCTTCTCTGTCGTCGTATAAAAATAAGAGAGATAAAATATATTCGAGGAACAACGAAGATTAAAAAAAAAATCTTAAAATCAATGTTTTTCACATATTACACATCCAATGTGCACACATATATGTAGGTACGTAAAGAATAAAACTCGCAAAAAGTTGTACAACAATCTTGATGCTTTCTAAACAAGTTACTTCGTGGCAAAAATATTTTCTAAAAATCACCGTAGAAAAATACGAGACAGATAATTCGTTCAATTATCTTTACTATCGACTAACCGGTATGCAGTATATGAATTTCTGCAAGAGATATTAGATATACGGCGCACGAATCGGCGATATTATTATAAACTCCAGTTTGAAGGTGTCACGTAACTTTGGATTAACTCAAATTAATTCAGTCCATTTAATTAAAGTAAATTTAATTTAAACATTTATTAAAGTAAATTCAATTAAACATTTGAATATTAGCACAACTTTAATATTACTCTTCTGTACAAACGGAACGATCCCGGTATGGAATCGAATTAAAATTTAGCGATGACGATAATATTTAACGTTAAGATTACGTATAGTAACGACGTACTTCTATCCCGCACAATGGTACATCCGGGAGTATACGATCGACGTTATCTGTAATATATATTTGTACTGAAAAGGGTAAACTCACCGCCGTGATACGAACTTCCACGGTGCGGCGTGTACGTGCCATTTTGACCCTCTACACAATGAGTCGGCGTATAGTACTGCATGGGATGTTGCATGTAATTATTGGGGGTGCTTGGGACATGTACCGGATGACAATGTATGCATCTTCGCGGTGTCTCGGGCGGAGCCTGCAAGCAAGATGAATTTTCAACGCGTTTTAGGAGAGACCGGGGAGAGGGGGGGGGAGGCACAATGTAGAGGAGTGTAGACAATCGCCCATGTTTATTATTATTATTACTACGAAATCTCGCACCGCGCTGACGTTACTAAGAAATATTGCGCAAGATTATTTGTCAAGAGGTTAATAATAATCCACCAATATGATACATAAAAATTCTATCGTGCAAATGCGCTTAAGCTAGATTTATAGCGCATATTTCAAAGAAAGAGTATATTAAGCTAAAAAATGATTTATTATCTTCGTATACGCGGGAAACAAATTTCATCTTCGGAATGAAAAATGCCGAGCTATCAAGACGTGCTGTTAAACTTAATATTGAAAACCCCGAAATATCGTTCGCGTAAATCTTGCTTAAAGTTAAATGAGTTTGTAGCAAACGTTTCTCTAAATGTTAGTTAAGGCTCTACATCTTTTTCCGATTCTCTGCCGCCATCCTAGAAAAGGATTATTGAAATAAAAAAAATCATTCGACTAATTTTAATCTGTGAAAGCCGATAAACCGAGCGTAATAGATCTAGAGTTTGCAAAAGTTCTCGTAATCCGGGATCGATCGCGAGGTAATCGCGGGCAATAACGGATGGCGGCGGGGG